AAGAAATAAAGAAAAGGAAAGAAAGGGAGAAAGAAATAAAGCAAAAAAAGGAAAACGGGGAGCAATAAAGAAAAAGAAAGTAAGAGTAAGAATGAAGAACGAGAGATGAGAAGGGACGCACCATAAGAGCGATAAACAGACAGGAGACAATAGGAGGATTGATACGAAGGGCAAGGGCACAGAGGAAGGAATCTTTGCTCAATGTCGAAAATGCTGAACTGCGGGAATGGAACGTGTGAAGACTGAAAGCACGAAAGAAGTATGGGGCACCACCTTTCTTGGTCACTTTGAAGAAAACGTCCATGGGGGACAGCGAGGGGGGGGGCAAGTGGTTTCCCGCCGCAGGGGGTAGGCTTGGCTTCGCAGCCGCCGCAGCGCGCCGAGCGGTGCCTGCCGAGGAGGAAGAGGACGAGGGGGCGGCCGGGGCTAATTGCACCAATGGAGCATAAAGAGTCACCCCGGCTGCTCTTTAAAGGGGACGGCGCATGATCCTCTCACTCTCCGCAGCCCAGAAGCTCTCCACTTGGAACCAGCCGACAGCCATTGCCTCGTCAAGGTCAGCGGACCGTCAACCAAACCCGGGGGCATAATTTCCATTTTATTTTCTAGTTTTATGTTTTATTAAAAACATAGTCACCACTCGAAACGAATTTCAACGAGCAGAAACGAATACCACGCTAAAACTTGTTATACCTTTAAAAGCTAGTATTTTGAAATAATTAAACTGATTTTACAATTAAAAGATATTCGAGGATGTCTATGAACGAATATACATAATATTTTGTTACAATTAATCATGCATTCATAAAATTGTTATATTTGATATACTAGCTGAACCCGTGCGATGACATCGCACAAAAGGAAGAGATATGGAAAAGTTACAACGGGAAAGTATATGAAGTACATGGAAAATCGAAAACGCAAAGAACGTTTTTCATGTCCTTCAGATATCTGCTGGCAACAGGTTAATTAAACTCTCAAAATAAAATGACAGTCATATTGCAGTTGATCTTGAAAACTTAATGATTATGGTGGCAGATTATTTTATTAATTTAAATATCTTATTAAAATTTAAGTGTTTTTACAATAAAACCAGTTAATACAGGCATGTGATAACATCTATAGCCCGTTACCTTTCATTTAAAAAAAACGGTCACAAAATTTGGTTTAGTCGACTCATATCTTTCTAAACGAAAAGCCTTGCTATTTTAGGCATATGCGACTAATTTCGGTAACTCAAGTTTTCTGATCATAATTGTAAATGTATTTATCTTTTTTAAGAAAATATTGTCAGAGGGATTTAAATTATGAATAGAGTGGTGTTATGAATATACTGAACTTAAAGTTCCCGCAACAGCTTACTCCCACATCGCGATCGTTTATACCGTCGACATGTAATTCACCTGCAGCTGTATTGCCTCTCACCAAACATCGCTGTCCGTTTGTCTCTCTCTTGAGGAAATTTAAATACGAAAACCATGTCAAACACGAAGCAAATTTACATTATTCGCGAATTCATGTAACCAGAATCAATCGACAAATGCCATCTTTACCACATCGGCGGATGTCGTTCTTCACTCGGGAACCATCGATTAATTTGTTGCAGTACCTTCCTTGAAACATGAATCACTAATGTTTCACTTACGTACAAGTTCTTCGGTTAAAGCATTGAATTAAAAATTAATTGGACTCGTGCGAACCTTCCGCGTTTTTGTATATTGTTTTGAAAGTGAATGTAGCTTGATATTTGAACCCTACTTCGGAAGGCTAGTGTCCCTGGAGTGTCATGTGGATCCTGTAATGAGTGCGAGTAGACTGCTAAGCACTTATTAACCTATCCAAAAATGTAATTGGTAAAATGTTCAAAAAATATCTCCTTATGTACAATAAGTCTTAAATATTCTTGGAAAACCAACCCTACTGCTATTGATAATCAAACTTAGAATAATCAAAAATCAAACGCACTGGAGTTATGAAATTTACGAGCGCGCCCCTGTGTAACAAATTGATAAAATAAAATTGACTCGAGTCGCCACAAGTGTCTAGCCGTTGTCTCGAGATTAGTGAGGGGAGGATGGCCATACGGTAACAGGTCTTATTCCGCGAGACGTCTCGGTCGGCCCAATCTCATCGTTTTGTCAATCGCCCATCTTGAGACTACGGACCGACTGTATTAAAACTCTTATTAGCGATTCCTGTGTATGTTTCCTGATACCATACCAAAAATAAGGATTCGTAATCTTACATCATTCAGAACAGAGGTAGCATCTTCCTGGCGAGAGCCATGTGTTTGCGGAGGCCTCGCTCCTGAGAAGACTAGAGTAAACACAGGGGTTGCCGCATACCTGCACGCTGAAGGCGCCCATCACCTCCACAACAACTGTTTGAACATCTGTTAGCTCTATTCCATCCAAAATGTTGCATTACGAGTGGCCCACTAACAATTTCCTTGTTCTGGACAAACACATTGCGATATGTCATGACTCGTGAACGACATTTATTGTACGAAGTGTATTTCCGACCTCGCATTTGTGATTCCACAAGAGACCTGGTGGTAACAAATTGTCAATGCCATTGGATTCGAATGGTCTAAAATATACTTTGAACTTTTACGAATTATCAAATTAATACGACTGTCTTAGCAGTAATTTATTTAGTTCGATTAATTTATTTGCATCACTTTACCGTACTACCTTAACCTTGCGGTTATGCAATTTTATCAATATCTACCGTTAGATACAAAAGCTCTGACACTTGACAGGTCGCTGAATGAACGTACTCTAGCACGAAGGTCGGCGATTACAGATTCACATTACAGCAGTGTCCACCGACTCCGCTAACCCTTCTTCTGCTTGGATATGCACAAAAGCGAAAGGTATATAGAAGCAAATACAAGTTCATATTCATAAAAATAAAATTTAAAAAATTAATGCATTACCAATTGTAAAAATCTATGTGCTCGCCTTCTACGAAATGTAAACGAAAAACTGAGGATAAAAATTCCTTTGATTCAAAATATACAATGTGTGTGTACAAGTAAATTATGTCAACAATTCACTTTAAAATTAAGCATACAAAACTATTTAGTAAATAAATTAAAGGGAGGAACGGAGGACCAATTCTAATGCAGTAATCTTCTCCATTTCCCCACCCCGAAAAAATTAACTGCATTTCCCCTTGAGAGGAGAGAGTCCATTGCATTTTGCCAGTTTTAACAAATACAGTTGACATTTTATCTGTCAAAATATACTCCCTTACTTAAAAGGATTACGTACTTAAATTTAGATTTACTTTTAATTGTTTAAGGTCGCTTTTTTACAACATTGTTATATATAGACTTCTTATTGTTTTAACCGTAAGAGGAACTGTAGAAAGAACACGTATGCAACACGAACGCACGCAAACATCCATGCCAGAGGCGGAATTTCAACCCGCGACCCTTCGAGCCCCGAAGCAGCTTTGGCCCTTCAGGCTAGTGACTTCAAATATCTAGGCCGGCTACATTTAAATTGTTTTCCAAAAAATGATATCTAAAGAATAACTTCCTCTAATCGGCTATAGAGGTAAGGGAGGCCAGCAGAGCCCAATCAACAGAAGGGAGAGAGTTTGTTTGCGGATACAGTTAAAGTAGGTTTGGCCGTTAGTCCCGTGAGTGCACTGCAAATTTTAGCCGGGATCTGGCGGTGTTCCTCCCCCCGTTGAAAAGCGATATCTCGCGCCACCCAACATTGTAGCTGGGTGATATTCCCTCGTATCGCCCCTCCTAGCAGGGCATCACCCCAGCCGGGGTAAGCTCTAAGCTTCCGACTCTTCTCTCGAGTGTGGTAGTGTAGCGCCATGGCGGTGAAATTTGTGTGTGTGTGTGTGTGTGTGTGTGTATGTATGTGTGTGAGGAGAGGACAAGGATGAGGACGAGAAGATCGCACGCTACCCGTGGACTCCTTTATTAAGGAACTGCTCCGGTATTCACTTCGTTCTAACCGGAGAAACTACGGGATGCTTCCGATAAGAGCAGCCGGCCACTAGAATTCTTCACAGGACAGCGGGTGAATTTGACTTAGGTCTCCACAAAAACTGCCATTTTCGGAATTCGAATATTGCGACCTCTCTTCCAGAGACGCTGCACAGTCTCGATGACAGTTAGCCGACACGCGGCGCATGGGGCTGGGGAGGCCGAAGCCGCCGCCGCTTAGCGAAACAGCCCCCCCTCGTCCAGACCCACCCGGTCGCTCAGCTGACGTCCGGGCATGCAGCCGCCTCATGTGCTCTTTTCAATGGACCCCGCGATGATTGGGAGTCAAGGTTGGCGGTGCGCGGGATCAGCCCACGGCCGGGGCGCGGGCGGCAGCGAGCGGACGAGCGCGCGAGCGCCCGCACAGGGAGAAGGGGACTGGGAGTTGGAATTTAATTGCAACTGCCCGTGGCTCGTAATCTTTGCGGCCTACGATGCGCCGTCCACCCGGCCGCGCCGTGACAGGCACTGTCGAGAGGCGGACGGGTCGGACCCGGAACTATTGGAGCATACCGACGCAACTGGGACGTCACGAATGGCACCCGCGTGCTTGTCTACTTACAGCAAATCGCGTGGCAACGACTTGTACAGGATGTACAGCCATTTGTAGCGGCGCCCCGTCGCTAGAACGCCGATAACACTCAGGAGGATGAGTTGAGGGATTAGACGGCGCCCCAGGGCTAGCGAAATCGCCGCTCCCCCGGCGAACAGCCCCGTGACGACTGCCGCATTCTCTGAAAACATCGCAACGTTGCTCGTTCCACGTTCTGACAGTAACTGAATGCTATCGTCGCTGCTGTGTGAGGTACGTTGTCTGACATTTGAGAACTACAGAGCATTGCCGCCAGAGAGCAGTGTCGAGCAAGGAACAAAGTATGCCAACTATGAAACTGGAATGTACAAGTTTATGGCATTTAAAGTTGAGGAACGTTTACCTGAACATTAATAATATATTGCCTGAAAATAATCTTTTATTGGCGTTTTAATTTGAGCACACTTCAATTTCGCTCAAGAATTACATTTCCTAATAGTAAATTATTCTGAAAATTTGTTTATTATGTTGTCTGCACTGTGTAAACATTCCGACTGCACTTTTGAATCATGGTATTTTGGTGGGAAAATTTCACGTGTGGCACGGTGAAAGATTTGAGTGATGTGAAATTTTGTAACAAGATAAGTGTATGTATTAGTAATTATTTCCTTTGTAAATTTAAAAATAAGGTCTCACAATAACACACAATGTCTGAAAAAAAGAATCTCGTCACGTTGGTGCCTATTTGTTCACTTTCAATCGGTGATCTTGCCCGTAAGGTAATGTATGTGTGATTACAATTTATAAACCAGTAGCGAAAAATGTGAGATGTTATTAATACATATCATCATTCTATCTCGTACAGGGATGGAAGCCGCGCAATAAGCAGATCATTAGTGATGTAAACAGAGATGAATACACTAGCTCATCGGATGATGATTTGAGTATATCATTTAGCTCATCTCCTGGAACCTCCGAAACTAAAGACAATCTTAATACAAAAAATGCCCGGCATATTGTAACCAAGTTGAATTTTGATGACTGTATTGTGAAGGCTAATCAAGTTTCTATTGCTACTGTTGAGCGAATTATTAAACCTCTAAATGCAGATGAATGCTCTACCATACCCGAAGTAGGAGACTGTAGTACAGTAAGGTCATGTCAAGAGCATGAACCTCAATTTAACACATTTGCTTCTCTTCATTTATTAAGTGATGAAATGACTTGTGTCCCTGAGTCACCTAATGTTGGTGCATTCAATAAAACAAAACGTTTTGAAGGTCTTCAGTTTGTTCATGATGAGAAAATTACTCCTTGTAAAGAAAGAGAGACAAATAGTGAAGAATTTTTAATATGCTCACCACCGAAATGCTATAACTTAAAAGAACATTTCAAAATTGTGGCACCAACGACAGAAGAATCGCCCATGGTATTAGTAAATGATTCATCACCATTGAAAATTCGCAGCTCTTCACCTGTTATGCAGTCTTCTAGGAAGAAGAAAAAAATTTCTTCAGAGAATCAGTTTTATGAATTACAGATGCAAAAAGATAATAAAAATAATTCAATGTTAGTTGCAGTAGACCCAGTGTTGAATCAAAAGAAAGAAAACAGTTTACATGGAGATGATTTTTCAAATATTTATTCTGATATTGACACAGTTGGTGTGAAACTTGACTGTGAAATGTCTAGTTTGGATCTTGCAGGTCTTTTACAAAGCCCTACATCATCACAGACACCCATAAGATTGTCTAAAGACAATATATCATCTCCAATTTTGGGATCTAAGAAAAAAAGACAGTTTTGTAAGTATACCAAAGATAAGAGAATAAGGAAACACACAGGTTCAGTGAGTTCTGACAGAAAACCTTTAATGCCAGTTAATAAAAATGAGAATGTTTCGATTCAGAATGTGTGTGAGAAAGGAAATATGGTGGAAGAAGAACTTTCATCAGTGACAAACTCTGAAAACAACTGTAACAACAAAATTAAAGAAATGCATTCTAAATCACGCATCGAAATATCTAAACCATCAGAGAATGAAGAAGGGAAACAATTCAATGTAATTATTGATATAACAAATCAGATATCGCAGGGACAAAAGCAAGATGAAATACACTTAAAATCACCCGGTGTGGATATGTTGAGAAATTGCATTCAAACTTCTGCAACTGAGAGAAGTTTAACTTTTCAAAATAAGGATGATGAGGGTTATACATTGGTTAAATTAAATGATAGTGTTTCTCCATCTCAAACTATTTGTGTTTCAGCAAATAAACTTTCAAGACGGAGAGTTAAGAGAAAACTTAAGCTTACCAACTTTACGTCTCATAAAGAATATACTCAATCACACCCTTCATGGTCTCAGACTTTTGTTACTCAAGAGACTGTTACATATTATTGTATTCGCAATTCCGATGCCATGAATGCAAACTCGGGCAGAGAACCTTCTCAGTTGTTAGACATATTTAAAGCAAAATTGCCTTCCAATGCTGAAGATCAAATGACACATGATAGCCAAGATCTTCAGTTAATGGAAACTCAAGACCAAGCACTTGCTGACAGTTTCCTGGACCAAGGTATTAGTTGTCTCCCTGATAATGATTGTGATAAAAGTTGTTATGTTATATCACTGGATTGCACAACCCAAATTTCAAAGTTTAATGAAGAAGCAAATGGTAGAGATAAAGCACTATCAACATCTGAAGAAACCCGAAACACTTCAGTTAGTCAGGCAATAGATCAAAATGAAAAATATTCTTCTGAAATGTCCATTTCTAGTGATATTATTGAATGCTCTCAGGTAATAGTGGATTCTAGCATGAGAGCAAAACGTGTGAAAGCAAACATTTACAAACACAAAATTAATGGCTTTGTTCACTGCAATAATTTTGATACAAGACCCTTTGTTTCTGTTGCTAGAAACAAAGTTTATAGTGGTAATAAATCCAATTCTTCTAGGATAGAGAATGATATTTTGAATACATCCAATTACATTGAAAATGTAACATCAGATGAAGAAGATACATCTCCAGAAAATAATAAGGTAAACATACAAGTTTAATGGTGTTTTTTTCCCCTTAATGTGTTAAATGCCTTGAGATGCTTTGAAATTACAATGTATTTGAATTAAATTTTATTTGTGTGGCTGTGAATTACCGTAAATCAGTCAAAATTTTTCTTTTCTAATATAATCTTTTATCGTATTACAATGTTTATTGTGACTGATTTAATTTTTTGCAGAAAGTTGCCAGAATAGTTTCAAATTCAAGAAAGACAATGCCATGTTTATCTGTTAAATCAAACTTGGACAACACATGTAATATATTGGATGAAGTCAACCAATTATGTAGAACCCCAGACAAAAAGAAGGACACAGAAAATTATGTTACTCCAGTCAAAAATGTATTAAATTCAGTTCCTGAAATGGAAAATATTTTCCAGCCAAGTAAAACACAGATAGAAACAGATACTTTGAGCCAGGTGAGTTAGTCCAAACTGATTTTAAGATGTATTTCATTTTAAAAGATTGGAATCAAAATTACTTGTTGCTTGAATTCTATTGTAGAATGCTTTTGATGCCACCTTTCTGAATTTCAAAGAAATTGTCTGAAACATCTTTATAAATATCTTACACTTTCAATTAGTCTTTCCAAAAACTCCATGTGTTGAATTATTTATTTGCAGCATATTTCATGTATTGGAACTCTGAGAAGTTGTAGAATGTCACAGGAGGAGTCTCCCAGACCATCTTTCTCTGAAAAATATGAATCACAGGTGCACATCTCTTCTGGATCATCACAGGATCCTGATCAGGGCCATTGCACGCCTCCAAGAATGGCTATTCCGCCAGTAAATATGGATTCAGGGAAAAAAAGGAAGCGACTGAAAAAGTATTGCTTGAATTTACATTTGAAATAAAATTCTGATGATTTGCATTGTTTACATTCATTGCTTTTTGATAATGAGTAAAACATTTTAAAAATATTTTATAGTATAACATAACAAAAATATTTTATTAGTATTGTTGGAAAATGGAAACATTTTATATTTATAGATAATAAGTGTGAGTGGAAAGTATATTCAACTTTTTAATTTGGTTTACCCTCCTCCTCTTTGTGCTCTTCATAGAACACCAAGTTATTTTTCATAAGATTTTCAGTTTATGCGTATTGTTTCCAAATTACTTGTTTCCAAGACTATGTGCATATCATTCTGTTTCATTAGTGTTGAAGACTAATTTATATGCATTTCTCGTTTATTTTTAAACTATGCAATCAGATGTTCTAATTTATTGAATACCTTGACATTTATTGACACCTTTTCCTCAGTACAATTTTTTTCCCCTTCAAAAGTAAAATAGCAGTCAATTTATTTCTTAAAATAGGGATGGTCTAGCAGCTCGTCTGCAGCGATTACTAGCTCATAAGCAAGCAGCAACACACTTATGCAAATATGAAGTGTCTGTTGGAACTCGGCGACCAGGAGATTCTGTGCTTTTGGTAAAGAATGCTTGGATGGAGTATAGTCGATTGCTTGTATTATGTTCTCCCTGCCCTTCTGTTGAGCAGTTACAGAATTCCAATAAAGGTACGATGAAGAATGTGAATATGTTTCTGGAATAATTATTTCCGTGTGTTTGAGTATTATTTTTTTCTGTTGAGGTTCAAAGTAAAGAAGTGAAGTAAATATAGTTGTGGTGCACTGCGTGGTATGGTTGTGGAGCATTGCTTCAAAAAGAAGTATTAATTTGAACTTGTTAATAGGATTCTTTTACAGAAAAAAAATTCTTCAATAATTGTCCTCATGATTATATTTTCACAACACTTTTGGGAGAGTCTCCTGATGTGAGAAATACTCCCTTCTGTAAATTTACCAACATTGAAAACAATATTTGGGAACAAAGAAAATTTTAACTTCTTTGTATCAAATTTAATTTTTAACTTTCTTTTTTATTCTTTACAACTTATTTTTTATTCTTCACAATTACAATATTTATTTTGGTAATTTAATTTGAAAATAGCTTTACTTTTGTCCAATAAAGATGCAATGCAGAGACAATAATCTCTCTTTTTTATAGATATCAGAAATGATGCTGCAAACCAAAGTATTCAGGAAATGTCTACAAGAGATCCTGAGGAGAATATAGCATCATTATGGGTTTTGGTACTGGATCCAGTCGTTTTACCTCTTACCCAACTTAAAGTGAATGCTGTTATTAGAATATATGCTCCATGGTACAATTGTAACTGCATATCAGAAACAAATCTGCTGTAACATAAGTAGAAAATTTATCAGAAAAATTGTGTGTGTGTGTGTGTGTGTGTGTTTTTTTTTCTCAGGCAAACTTTGTATGTTCCACGATTTGCTGTGACCCTGGTATTAGATGTTACCTACATTGAATTGGTATCATCTTCTTCTAAAGGATTGTCACCTACTCAGACATATGCTGTTTGTGGAGTGGAAACATTTCACTGCCCATGTGTGGATGGTAAGCATTTAGGTTCAGATTTGTCATGTATCTAAATAAAATGCAATCATGTGGATTCTACAGGTAGGTAGAATTATTCATAAATAATTCAATTGCGTGAACACTTTAAGAATCATGTTACTTTTTGCAAATTCGTATTTGATCTTGGAATATTGATGGACAAAAGATATTGTTTAAATTCTCACACCTTCACTGGGTTGCTATTTTAGAAGATCATCATTTTCCTGTCACATTATAGAGTTTTATTGGTAAAGATCTGATCTAATGTTTCATACATAAGGAATGATATTGGTCTGTGGATCATACCTTTTCATAATACAATTTCCATTAGGTCTTAAGAGGATGTTTGTTCATGTACATAATTACACAATTGCTGAAATGACAAATGCAATAGTGATATTAATCCTTTTACACAGAGAGTGAGAGATGGAAAAAGGGTCATGTTTTGGTAAGAAAAGGCAATCTCTTTCAAAGAGCTATTCTTAACTTTTCCACCTATAAATTGCCAATTAATCTGTTTCCACCTCCAGTTCACATTGGGGAACTCCTTTAGGGAACATCTATGTTCTCCATTTTTATTTACCTGATTTTTCTTCAGGTACCAGCAAACCAGAGAATTGTGAGTTTCAGTTACCTGATAGGGGTAATCAACTATGGACATTACTGTCCCCAGCTCTTACAAAATCTCAAATGTCTCTGAGTCAAAAATGTAATATGCAAATTGCAACAATGGACTTGGGAACGCAGAAAGGCACTATAGCAGAGGCTATAATGCAGCATAGCCGTGCTCTTACAAGTGGCATTTGGTTGAGAGTGAAAATTCTCAGAATATTTTGTTACAGGTAAAGAAAATTGAAAATTTACAGGTAATTGAAAATTGTAGAGACCATTATATTGAATGAAAGTAAATTCATTTATAAAGACATGCAAGTTATGAGGAATACTATTCAAATATAATGATTATGATAATTTATCAACATTTACAAGAGTTCAGGTGAAGCTAACATACAGTCAGGTTTTCTCCTCATAAAAAGAAATTAGTGTTTTCATTTTCCAATTGAGATGTCAAATGCAAATGCACTATATAACAAACCTGCTCATTCTATTATAGTATATCCAGGGCTTGATTTCTGGTGTAACCCGGTGAAACGGTGTTCCGGAACCTCGAGAACGAAGTAGCGAAGCAAGCAAGCAAACACTTAGCAATTTCAGTTTTAAATTAACCAACTTTAATATACTAAAAATTTTAAAAAAATCCTCTTAACTTCATAACTTCTATATAAAATAATAGTAAAAAAAACAACTATATTAGGGTGCATGCTCATTTTGGAACACATTATGTGTGTTTTGTTCCCAGCAGCATTTTTGTGTTGCTGGGCCCCAGTAGGGGCTGTCCATAAATATGTAACACAAATTTGGAGTTGTTTTTGAATACCCCTTCCCCCACAGCAATGCGCCCGTACTTGCTTGAAGCTTCCCGAAAATAATATGAAATAACACTTGAGACCCCACCCACCCCACATTTGCAAGAATTAAAAATAATTATATCACAAAAAAGAACAACAATTTGTATTAATTTTTATTTGTTATAATTGAAAATTTTATGATAATTAAAAGTCAGATTAATTGGTAATGCTGACTAAAAGTAACAATAAACACAATAACATTGGAACGAGTGCTATGTGAAGGAAGGACACACAGAACGTGAACATATTTAACAAGCGAATGATAAATGATGTACAAGCGACAGTCTTCTGGCACCAATTTAATAGTATTCTAGATATAACATATGATCAGTCGAAAATTTTTTTGTAATCCTACAGATTCTATTAAAACATTATGAAAAAATAATTCAGTTTATTGTAACAAACCATTTACACAATAACTTTAAATTAATTTGTTTTTATAAAGTAATAATATTTTAATGCTTTGTTGTAAGACAGAAGAATGTAATTTTCAGCTGTCCGAAAAATTATAAATTATTCAATGTTTAACATAAACACTAAACTAACATCCCCTTAACCCCCCAAGTAACACAGTGTAACATTGCCTGCACTCCCTCCGCTCTTTAGCATTACGTATTTACAGATGACCCCCTAGTAATTTATAACATTGCACATTGTGTCCTAATATTTCAGCCATCTCTTCAAAAACTCCTTTCTCTTGTTCCAAAAAAATGAAAGATTTTTGAAAATATACTAGGCATTATCTGGAAATGATGCTTAAATTCCATTTAATATCACTATGAATCAATTATGTGTTCATTTTTGTGTGTTGCAAAATTGTAATATTATTTGTAATTTCATTTTTGTGTAAAATTTGATAAAAATGAAAGCCCTACAAAATTTTTTCAACCCTACTGAGGAGGAGGCCTTTGCCCTTTAAAGGGATTTTGCAGGCTCAATAAATAAAATGACATGGATTGAACTATCCAGTTTGCGGATTGGAGGTCAGTTAATTTATTTGCGAACTTGTGGTGATGTTCAACTCGTCTATTGTTTACTCTAATGTTATACACTAGTTACTGCGAATAATGTATTATTCCTCACTTTACACCTGGACATATTCTATACTTCCAAATTCAATCATTTTCAATGAATTGTATGCTTGATAAAACGAGAGTGGGCTGGCCGCAGATGGCAATATATTTCATATTCACTTAGGCTTCTTTTCAACAGATCCTTGAGATGGAGCAATTTCCCTTAATTTCTATATCATGTTTAAGAGCAAAAAAGTAAACTGTAAAAACAGTAATGTGATGTTTGGGGGATAAGATCATCTGGCACACATTTTCTTGAGCCCTCCCCAGATCCCTTCTCATCACCTTTAACTATAATAGTTAAAAGATTAAGTTAATGTAAGCAAATAATAAAAATAAAATTGTAAGTGCAAGATTAGCAATATTTGAAAAAAACTAACATTCTTTGTTCCCAAGTATAGAAAATTATTTGCATCAGTGTAAATTGAATTGCAGATATGATTTTGCTGGCATTGCTAACAAAATAGTAATAAATAGTTACCCTCTACTCCTACCCATTACAAGGAAAAAGGAGATTTCAACCAAACATGCACATCGTGAACGCTCATTTATGTCCAGAAAGCCAACGGGGCCATCTCAGCATTTGCTCAATCGGATCAGAAAACTGAACAAAAACCTGATCGAGATTGGGATCATTGACCTGCCAATTATTCTGTGTAAGGAAAATCCTTAAATCACTTAGGCATAGTATATTACGTGTAATGAACTCTTAACAATAAAATTTAATTTTTGCAAAGTGGGATAAAGGTTTATTTTTGTTATACAACGTGGCTCTTTAAACCTTTGGCCCAAAATGGTACCTCTCCAGTCATGAAAGGCCTATGTGTTAACATTACACAGTTCAAGAACCAACATACCATCACTGGTAAATCAATCCCTTAACTATCTAATGTGAAGTTCTTAGAAGGATAGGTTGCAGGATCGATATAAATATCTTCACAACTCATAAAGATTTAAAGTTTTTTTCCATACATTATATCTGAAATTCCAAACTTATTCCTCTAGGTCTCTGGAAACTGAAAATGAAGAATCAAAGATGTGAACGTGTTTACAACCTCAATTTTGGTCAGTGCTCTGTGAAGAGCAGTTCAGGACAATATTGTGAAGTTTGTCTTAGGATCCCCTTTGTGAAAATCCTTTGTCTTATGAGTGGGGAAAAAATAAGTTAAATGGGTATGTGGCGATTGGACATCTTTACAGAATAGGCTGCTCTTAATGTTTCTAAAAAGACTTCCCTCTGATCTGTAAGACTGGCAAAATAAAACTTCATTATATTACAGTAATAGAATATTACAATGCATCTTGTTTATGAAATTTCATTATTTTATTAACAGCATGAAATAGAGTGCCAGGGATTTCTGAGGAAAACGTTCTAATACTAATATGTGTTCCAAATGTTTCTTTCGATGTATCAGCAGCAGAGGCTTTTTTTATGTTTTTTCTGCCACAAACTGAAATGTGGAACTGTGAAAACAATGAAGAAACAATTGCTGACGGATATCCTTCCAACTGTGGTCACATTGTCTTAATATTCAAAAGAAGGTGTGTGCAAATACTTCTATCACTATTTCCATTATTCCCGCAATTATTGTATATTCTATTTGTTATTTTTTTTTTTCCCCATTAGTAATAATAAATAGTTTTGCCTCTTTAAATGTAGACTTGGCTTTACTTTACATGCAAATGTTTACTGCATGTTTCTTTGCAATATAATAATTTGAAGGAAAGGTAAGAAAATATTTCATTGTGTTGCACATGTGCCCTGAATTGAAGGAAACCATGTACACTTATTATGGTGATATATATGTATAATGATGTATAAAGACAATGAACGATAATGTTTTTAGATAACGATTGGTTTCTTTGGCGGCCACTGTGTTGTAAAAGTCCTTGCCCTTTTGGAACTTCAAATCTTTATATTGTAGACTCCTCACTAAAGACGGATGAAGACACTTTCAAATCAAATTACGTAAGAAATAAATATGAAACTTCATGTCCAATTCTACGGACAAAAATATACTGACAAAACAGTTATGTTTTCAAGACTTCACTTTTATATAAGGGTGAGTTTCCACACAATTATTAATTTTAACTAATTGAAGTAAGATTAACAATGTCGTATAAAAGTGTCTAATTTTTAACAGCGCTTGTTTTAAAAGGCAAATGATAATTGCCTTAAATTAGTAGTACTTGTCTAACTAATGTAAATCAAATTCACATGGTGAGTTTTTTGCTGACAAATATTGTCGTGTATCTTTCTCAAGAGAACACAGATTGCCCTGCTTGCCCAAAAATCGATGCTTGAAAGCATTGCTCGATTGGACAAGTTATCCTTTTAATTCCTCAAAAAATACAAATGTCTTCTCAGATCAAGGATTTGGGCTTGTTGGAGGTGCGTTAAATAGTGGCTGATTTATCTATTAATTTATGTGTCGTACTTCAGTTGAGCAGTATTAAAAAGAACAAAGGTTTGTATTGAATCATTGTTGCGTAATTCTAAAAGCTATAGATATTTTTTTCATAATCTGTATTTATTACCTTTTTTTTTTTAAAGTTTGAGTTAAACTTTAACTGCATTGGAAAAAAATATAGAATTCGAACATAGCTTATTCTACATACTTAACCCTATAAATATCAGGTTTAATCAGAAAGAAACAAAGATTTCATTGTGTACAACGTATTTCATTCATTGTAAGGCCATTTGATTGCTTATTATAAAAAAAAATAGTACCCTAGGCAGTAAACATCGTGAATATCCAAATCTTAAGTGATCATGCTTTCAGATCTATTGCCCCCTGAAGATAAATGCACGAAGATCTAAAATACCAATTATAGAGGCAGTCCTTGTAAGTAGAGATTAAAGTAAGAAATGTTTATACAGATAATAAGAAACATCGAGGAAGCTCACCTTAAATATATGGGAAGAAATTGAGAAAAAAAATTTGTTTGTAAAAATTGATATATTATAGTTGTTATAATATATATTTAGTATACTAACTGCTATATTAGTATTACAACTAGTAATATATACTAGTAGTTGAAAGGAATGTGTGAGTAATTAAATTTTAACAAAATGTGAAATGTTTAGAGAACAGTTAGAGGGAAAAAATAAAATACTGGATGTCACACTCAAGTACTAACAAGAACATGGAAATTAATTATTAATTACGGCTATAAAATTCCACTCGGTGGTTCTTA